GCTTCTCCTTGTCTGTTGCTACATTTTTCATGCATCACTTTGCCATCCTTGCTCATCAGTGGGGGTATGCTTTCTTTGGCCTTCCTTTTCTGGCTAACATACCTGTAGAAGCCCTTCTTATTATTCTTTGCATCCCTTGCCAAGTTCAGCACCAGCTGCACCTTGGCCTTCCTGACCCCATCCCTACACAACCAGGCAGCGTCCCTGGACTCTTGCCAGGATACCTGTTCCTGCTTCCACTGCCTGTGCGTTTCCTTCTTGCCCTTTAGTTTGCTCAGCAGGTCTCCACTCGGCCATGCTGGTCTCTGCCTCTCTTTCCTGATTTCTTACACCTAGGGATCAAGAGCTCTTGCACTCTATGGAAAGCATCCTTAGACATCTGCCAGCTCAGTTCTGCTCCGTTGTCCCTGAGGGCAATTTCCCAGGGGGTCCTATTGACTAATGAAGAATCTTCCTTGAAGAGCTGGAAGTTTGCTTTCCTAAAATTCAGGGTCCTGACTTTACTCTTTGCCTGACCCATATTCATCAGGACTGTGAACTCCAGCAGTGCATGATCACTGCAGCCTAGGTTGCCCCCAGTCTTGACGTCACTGATGAGCTCACTTGTGTTGGTGACCAGTAAGTCCAGTATCGCATCCCCTCTGGTAGGGCTGTCTATTACCTGGCCTAAGAAACTAGCCTCCATGCATTCCAGGAGTCTCACAGGTTGGCTATAGCTGGCTGTGCTACTTTTCTAGCAGACGTTGGGGTGGTTGAAGTCCCCCAGCAGGACAAGAGCCTGTGAGTGTGATGTCATCTGTAGCTGGAGGCTTTATTAATAGGCTCCCCTTGATCAGGCAGCCTGTGGTAGACACCAATCACGAGGTTCACTATTGACTCAGTCTCTTATTACCCATAAGCTTTCAGCCTACTTGTGGCTATTCTTCAGAGACAGCTCATCACGCTATATCCATCTCTTGATGTAGAGGGTAACACTTCTGCCCCTTCTTTCTTGCCTGTCCCTTCTGAACAGCCTGTAGCCATCAATAGCCACACTCCAGTCATGGGATTCATCCTACCAAGTTTCAGTAATGGCAATGAGGTTGTAGCTTTCTAGCAGCATGGTGACTTCCAGCTCTTCTTGTTTGTTGCCCATGCTGTGTGTGTTGGTGTAGAGGCACTTGAGCTGGGCTGTTGGCCATGCCACCTTCTTAAAAGAATAACCCTTAATTCCTTTGAGATACTTCACTGGTGTTTCTCTGTTGGCTTCTATTACCTCAGGAGCCCTTGTCTTCTCTCCATAAGACTTCAAGTGTGCTGCAGTGTAGCCAGCACGACTCAGAGCAACAGGCTGAGGGCCCTCACTAGCACCCCATTCCTCTAACCTTGGCGTTGTCATCCCACAGCTTGTCATGGGCAAGCCTGATATTAGCCCCCTCCCCCTTCAAGTCTAGCTTGTGAGCAAAGACCCTCTTTCCCCTTTGAGAAAGTGAATTTGGGTGTAACTGCTAGAAAGTTGACCTTCTAGCTGATTATTTAAAGGAGAGAAGAGTAATATGAAGGTAGGGTCTCACCAACCTCTGTCACCTTACTTGTTTAAAATTCAAGGAAGTAATAAAGTTTCAAGTGTTACCATATTCCATAAGGCCATGCTTATGTTCTTCGGTTTCTCTGTCAAGTGTCATTTCATACATCCCTTTGGAAAGGGAACCATGCACAGCTTGGTAAATGGGAAATGAGTGTTTTTGTTCTAGCCTGTAGATTGTGGCATAACTTTATCTAATCTCTATAAAAAAGGAGAATTACACCTAGGAAGTACTTGGGCTGCCAGTATGTTAAAAACAAATGTTGCATGGTGTGGTATGTTTCATGTTGTCAGATGTTGGATCCTTTTAAACTTACTGGTTTAACTCCTTGCAGATTTTGTATACTCTTTTAATGAAGAGTTGTGTTAACATTGATTTTAATTAAAGCTCACTGAACACTTAAAAATGTGACTTAGTTGTTTCTCACTTCCAAAACACAGACCTAAGCCTTTTAGTAAATTTAACTACGTTTATGTACTTTTGTTTATTTTTGCCCTAATGTAGTTTAGATACTAGTCCTGGGTCCTTTTAAGGAGGAGGTTGGCTAAAAGCAATGTGAAGGAAGCCAGGTGTCAGGGAATGAATAGGAAAGTAAAATTTGTAGGAAAGAGCTTTAATGGTAAATGTGTCCTTCAATGTGTGTTACATTTTTGTAAATGCTTGATGATACTTACTTGAGCTCCAGTGAAATGTTTGAGTTGCTTTTTATTGAAAAGGGGGGGAAAAAAAAGGGAATCTTCCAATCTAGTACAGAAACAAACTGACTTTGCAGGAGTTGTTCTTTATTTTAGCTGATTAATCTGATTCTTACCTCTGTTTTGTTAGCCAAGGGGATGGTCCTTCAAGTATATGTGCGTGTAACTTGGCATCCTGGACCTCAAATACCAAGATGTTTTCCAAACTGAGGTCTAAGAGAACAAAGAAACAAAGGAAGTTTCCTCTTAGAGATTTTTTTACTGTAGTCCTTCAGTATTTTCTTTTGCAGCTCTGAGGAGCTCTCAGCCATCTTTTGTACAAAAGCACTGTATCTAATTCTTTTCCCGTTGAAGGAAGGTCTCTATGGTTTCCTGAAGGTTGTTACATTCCTATATGATCTGAAACTTGTTTGATAAAGGACTGTCCTTGAAGGACAGGAGATAGTGTCTGCAAAAGCACTGTGGTTTGTCTTCTCAGCTAGCATACTGGGACAATACTTGACAGATTGTAAACCACACTTGACTTCAGAGGTAATTAAAAACCTGGAATTGTTCTTGGAGATGAATAGAATTCAGTGCAGTTTGGTCAGCGATTGCAATGTTATTCAAATTACTTTCAGCAATGGTTTCAACCTGTAGTGGGTCACGACAATATTTCTAATGAAATACCCTCTGAAAACACCTTGTGTTTTAGATTGTTATGTTGTCTATGTGAACTTGCAGCTTCACGTTTCTTCTTTCAGGTGTTTTGGGACCATGAAAACCCCAACATCTTAGAGCCTGAAGACTACTTTTAAAGAATGTGTATTTACGAAATGATACAGCCAAAAGCTTTCTGATAGCTTAGGATTTACACAATATAAAATGTTAGACTGTTTTATTCTTTATATCAGAAAGACTTGGAGAGCTAGTGAATATCAAGTGAAATGGAAGCTGGTGAATGCTAGCCGTGATACTCCTAAATATTGTTAGGTGATATTACAAGAGAAGTCAGGAATATGAGGGTAAATCAGGACTTTTTTCTCAGTCTTCAGCAGAAATCAGTTATAGGAGTTTATAGTGTAAAAGATATAGATGAAGCTTACAGTGAAACCATGTTTGAACCCTAAATTAGGATTTTTAGCATGTCAGAAAGCATGATAACAGGCTGATTCACCACCTCTTCTGCATATGTCATTGACTGAGTCAGTTAAATTTGTTCTTCAGATTAAAATGCTATTAACTTTTTTGAAGCAAACTGGAGACCGGGTCCATGGAATGCTATAACTGGCTTGAAAACCATATGTACAATTTCAGCCCCAATTATGTGAGACTTCTTTTTATGTGTAGGTTAGTATGAGGATATCTTCTTGTGTTCTGGGAGCTCCCATTTCTTTCTTCAGGAAGAGAAGAAAGAGTAGAGAGCATATAATATATACTGTACTGTTTGTGTGAGACTTGCAGTTATTTTTACTTTGTCATATGATAAGAATAGCTGAGAGAGTATTTTGGGTAATCAAGATACCCATGACTTTAATACAGATTTTCCTCAGGGAAATGCAGATTATAGGTAGGTATTAAGCTAATTCAAAGTGTACAGGAAAAATACCTTTTTTTTTTTTTTAAAGAAATCTAAATAGACTTTTTTAGAAAAACAAATATTGTCTGACTGGCAAATGTAAAAGTATGTGGTGGTAACATTGTGCAGCACCTTATTGTAAGCCCAAAAATACCTCAGGATTCTCAGGGAAAGGGATTTACATAATTGTATGTGGTGTGAGATGCTGTGGTCTACCCTGGGCTGGCCTTACTTAAAATATTTCATATGCTGCTCCACTGCAGTATTCCTTTGAGTAACTCAAACATCTAAACACAATATCGCACTGCTTCTTGGTAATAAAGTGCTGTAATCAGCAGCTAATTAAAAATACTAAACATAAAGTTGGGATACTGAATTTTCTGTATTTTAATTGGCATATATAAACTGCACATCATATGTATCTGTGTACAATATCAATATAAACATTTATTATCTTTGCAGTAGCTTCAAGTACATAGCTGGCAGGTCTGTGCCTTCCCTGGTGACTGACCAGATTGGTGAGAACTGCTGGTAGTTCTGTTTTGCTCACTGGAAACTGCAGCAGAAAGTCTTTTAGTAGTTAAGTCTTGTCCCACTTATCTCTCTAAAGATCAGTATTTTCAAATTCAAAATTCACATTTATTTTGGAGGTATCTGCATGGTCTTAGGCAGGCAGATGCAAGCAAACTCTTCCTATGCTCTAAATCTGTTGGCAAACTGGGAGCAGTGTAGCCGTTAATACAGCTTGGAGCCCGAATGCATATATCTGGTTTGGAGTTGGATGCTGCCTGCTCAGTTCCCTGTGTCCTCCTGCAAAAGGTGAAGGCGGCGTACCCCTGCCTGCTTGTCTCCAGACCTGGCGAGCCTCAGTGGGAAGTGGTGGTGTCCCTGGGAGTGGGCTGGGAGCGGCATTTGTGTTCACAGTCTGATTAATGGGCAGGTTCTTGAGTGAGATTCCTCTGGGGAAAAGGCACATTTTTAAAATGGGTTGACTCTGTTTTTGATCACACATTAATAATAACTAATAACGGCTTCATCATCCTGGTGGTGCTCTCGATGGTTTGGCATGCTTCCCAGACAACATAGGTTACCTTTTATACTCTTCAAATGTAGCTTGAATTTCAGCATCTGAGAAATGCTGGGAATCAAAAGGAAAGCAATTCTCTTTGCGTAGCTGAAAAACTGTCTGAGGTGAGCTGAACAAAGAATGCTGTTAACTGGGGGCTTCCAGCCTGAGCTGGGTAGCTGAAGGAATGGAGAGCTTGTGTAGACCTGGTAGGTAGTGAGACTTTGGGAGCAGAGCCTGGGCTTGGGCTGTCTGTGTCGCTGCAGCCCACGATACGCGGCGTAGCACAGGAGGCCACTGGGTAGTGCAGCTTTGCAAGTGCGAGCGCTCCAGTGGTGAGGTAAGGCAGAAGAGTGGAAGTAGCGTAGGTGTACGTGCTTAGTGAGAGGGTGATGGCAAAGGCAAAAGCCCTGTCTCTTGTGTAGGTAGATTTATTGCCATGACTTAGCTAAAGTTGTGGGATGGGCATTGGTATATCTAACTGTCTTTGTTACTGCTACAAACAGCTGAGCACATGACTATGGTCTCTTTTCTGCAGTAATGAAGAGCAGCAAAAGGAAGGACTCTTCGTAACTGCAGAGCCTAATTGTTGTAACCAAGAGGAAGGCACTGCCACAGGCGTGCAGAAATATCACTGGTTAAATAATAACCAATTTTTAAAAGAAACATTTGTTTAGGAAAGCCTTGAGGAGGCTCTGTCTGAAAATACATATAAAAGATTAAAGGTTTAACAATACTGGCTTTCTTGAGTCTTTCCAGAATGCTGTGTTAAGCCAAATCACATCTCTAAAGCAGGGAGATGTTCCTGTGTTTCCTGGAGTTGGTGGTAGCTGGTGACAGTATCTGCCATCATTCATACTGAAGTTATTCTCATTGGTATAATTAAAGGCAGAAGGACTAATTTTAACAACTTGATAGCTCTGTAATTTTTTTTTTAATTGGGGAGCCCCAGTTTCTCTGAAGGGGCTAGAGTGAAACCTTTAGCTCTTTCCTTTGTGCTGTCAGAGGAGAGAGTTACATATCTTTTGGAAGTTGGTAGGATTAATTTCTGTAATACATGTGCATATTGTCATAGTGGTGGGAGTCAGTAGGATTAATTTCTGTACCATGTGTATGTATTCTTTTAGTAGTGGGACACAGATTTCTTGTTGCAGGGATTGTCAGCAAAAAGGTGGGAAGTAGTGGTGGTCTATGGTTCAGCGTCGGCTAAATATAACTACCCTGTTAGAAGGAATGGTATACATAGAGTTGGAAAGCTTGCCACATGTAGCAGAGGGTTTCATTCTTTATTAAGAGAATGGTGAAGAGTTGGAAGGGCAAGTGTAGGAGTACCATGTGCGTGTTGGTAGGAATACCGGTGTGTTGCTCCTAGAAAGGTTTTATCATTTTCAAATTCCAGTGACCTGTTTTCTGGAAGGCCTTAAGTCACTTCTCAAAGAATAACTCTATAAAATCTTCTGTCACCGAATATAAATTTTGAAATTAACGTAGGTGAAATGACGAAATATGAAAATCCTGTTACTCTTTCCTATTTAGGGAAAAGGATAACGAGCTGGTACTAAATGTCTTCATGTCTAAGTCCAGGAGTCTACACAGATGCTGGCAATTGGAGAGCTGACTTGAGATTTTTAGGAAATCTTGGAAAAGCCTGGCAAAAGGGATGTAGTCTTGACTAGTTAGCAGTTACATCAGAATTTTTTTTTTTATTTAGCTTGGCCCTGGGTGACTGCTGTAGCTGTTTTCCCCTAACAAATTCTTCTTGTGTTTTTGATACAAACTCCACTGTGAGGCATTTGATCTTCAAACATTTTGCAACTGTGTATTTTGCTTGTTATATGTGTTAATGCTTTCAGGCTAGGAGGTTTTTTTGGCACTAATTATCTGAATACATTCTAATAAAACTCTGAACTGTTTTTAGAAACAGGAGTGGTGTTAGTCCCATTGTTCTGATTTCACTGTTATCTTGCATGGTTTTCTTGACCATACTTTTTCTTCGTGTACTTCTCATAATTGGTTTCTACAAACTTTTGCATTAATTTTTTTAATGCCTAATGATGTGTTGGTGAATGAGCATCAGCAAGTTTCTTGCTTTCTGTCCCCTACCCCCTGCTTCAGCTATCTTAACTGGAATATGAGCCTCATCCTGTGTAAACCAGACTCAGCTTGGATTTATTTTTTCACCTTAAGTCTTCCTAGTTACTTTGTGAAGAGATAAAAATTGATTGTATACTTCTTCCTGTTTCTGTCACATAGGGTATTAGTCACCCTATACTAATAGGGTATTACACTGCTGTTCTAATATTTATATGTAATATTCTTAGAATGGGTGACTCTTAATACCTGCTGCGTATGGAGTCATGTTTGCTGTGTTCTTAAGATTGGCCCTGTTTCTGACACATTTATTTTTGGAATAGTTGCATTACTTGTCATATTTTAAGCAGTTTAAAACCTTTGAGAAAATAATCAGTCCTAAGTGAGATGTATGAGTTTCCTTTATCATAATGCTATTTTATTCAAAGTGAAACAGCAATAATTTATTCTTCCATAGCAATGGAGAATAAAGAATGTTGACTGAGTAAAATATTAATGCATGTGTTAAGATTTTGAAACCTCTAGCAATTTTTCTTCCTCCTCTTGTATAAAAGATGGTGTCAAAGGCTAGTATTGGAAGGGATTTTTTTCAAAGATTATCTTTTTTAAAGATCATGTGGTGGTGTTTTTTGAAAAAAAACATATACCTGAGCTTTCCTGTCCATCAGTGACATCAGAACCAACTGGAACCTTTCTGACACTATGTTGGGACCTTACTATTACCACTTGTGGTTTGTATCCCTGCATCTGAAGGTTTCTAGCAAAATCTGTTACTGTTCCCAGAATGAATGTTAAGGATATGGAAATAGGAAACCTTTCTGCAGTCCTCTAGGAGAGCTCTTAAATGTCATGTTACTGGTGGAGAGGAAGTAGGGAGACTGAGTACCACTGTTTTGTTTGGCCTGTAGTGTTTGTCTTGTTTTCTGAAGGCATTCAGTGTGTCTTCTTTTTAATATGGAATGAAAATAAAATACTGCTGGTTTTGATTCACAGAAGAATTCACTGTGGCATTGTATTAAAAAGCTTCTGCTTTAGCAACCAGTCACTCAGTCTATATACTGTGCTTTAGATAAATGCATGGTGTGCTGAGATGGACTTACTTTTTCTGGTTGAAATTCTGCTTTAACTGGATTCTAGTAGAGGATCTTGGGAGGGATTTTTTTCCTGTAGCTCAGTGTCTTTAGTATCTTAGCAGTTATACTGTAGGCTGTACTGCAGAATTGTTTGTGACAACCATTGAGCAATTCAGTGTTTTGAGGAAGTCACCAAAGGTCAAAATAAATAGTTGCCAGCAGCACCACTTCAAAGGAAGATCTTCAGCCTTGGTCTTGAGAAGTTTTAACCTTTTGCTGGGCAGCTAGCTCTTCTTTAAGGTGCACCTAGATTTTTTCTGAGTTGGTCCAGGGGAGGAATTGAACTCTGTGAATCACCGTAGGTCAAAGTGCTGAAGGAAGCTCTGGTGAGGGGTTCATTAGCAAATAACTCCAGGGGCTGCTGTTCTTTCTTCTCTAGTGATCAGTGAATTTATTAGGCTGCATTACCCCATAATGTTGGTCAAGAAGCAGCAGCAGATTATGATCAGTCCCAATTAGCCTCCTCATTCCTGGTCCCACAGTTTCCCTGACTGTCTGCTCAGAGCTCCCTTTTGCTCTGGTAGCATCTCTTACTCTTCCTTCAGGACCCCTCTCAAACCCCAGGATTGTCCAGGCACTGGCAGTGGGATCAGAGGCCAAGGACACTTGGTGTGAGGGTGACCTGAAGAGAAAGCGAGGAAGGAGAAGAGCTGGCAGCATGAGGTCTTCATGCAAGATGTTCAGAAGCTGTTGTAGACTGACAGGAATAAATTCTTTGTGACTGTTCTCTGTACACTGGCAGATGCTAGAGGATCTCTTGCTGTGGTGTAGGTTAGAAATATGGTGCCCCTGCTCCTCTGCCCTGCCACTGAAGGGATTAATGAAGGTGAGCAGTGGGTGGCCTGGAGTGTTTATGTTGATGTACTTGTACTGTTCCAGTGTCCATTGGTAAAGTAGTTGACTGTTTCTCTATTTTTCTACAGTTTCTGTGCCATGGTTAGTTTATAAAGATGTTTTAAAATAAGCTTTTATTTCTATTTATTTTCATAATGGGAAGTCTGAGCTGATCGTGGATCCTGTGGTATTTCTGTATTACAGAAATGAGCTCTGTGAGTATGTGTCAGGAATTCCTCTGAGTCTTTGTGGATTAGCAGCATTTTTGCATATTATTTTCCTATAATACTGTATTGCTGTTGATGCTTGCATTGCTTCTGACAGCTTTGGGTGTTCTGGAGAAATAAATAATCTTTATGTTACTTCATGGATATTGTACTTTTTCTCTCTTCAGTGACACGGGTTTGCTGAAAAAGAAGTATTAAAAGGCAACTATTGCATCCTCTTTTTGTCATCACAGGTGGCGACAGACAAGGTTGCAGGAAAGCTAAGCTCTACTCTCTCATGGGTGAAGAACACTGTATCGCACACTGTCAGTCAAATGGCCAGTCAGGTGGCAAGTCCATCTGCCTCATTACACACTACATCCTCCTCTACCACTCTGTCTACGCCTGCGTTATCACCATCCTCACCAACACAGCTGAGTCCGGACGACTTGGAATTACTCGCTAAACTTGAGGAACAGAACAGGTGAATGGAAAACTTTTTGGTCTTCTAAGTATAGTAATGAGACTAAAATCTGTTTATTACAATTTCAGCATAGGGGCTGTTAAAGGGGGATTAGGTAGAACTTCATGGCACAACATTTCAATTTCAAGGCCCTGAGGTTTAAGAACTTGTGTTCTTGTGCTGTGTTTTTAGAGTTCCCCGCAAAAAACCCTTTTAAAATGTATTTGTCTTTCCTGGTTTTACTGGAGTTTTTATAGCTGCCTGTAATCCTAAGAATTTACACTGTACCCATGTGATTTTTCAGTATCCAGTTTCATAGAATCATTTAGGCTGGAGAAGACCTTTAAGATCATAAAGTCCAACTGTATTTAAAACAGAGTACCTCAGGGATGAAACTTTCATGTCACCTTCTCACCTTCTTAGATCAAAACTATAATTTCTATTAACCTTTTGAAATGTTAAAGATTTCCAAATTCCATTTTCTCTACATTTTTCCCACTTTTACCCTATTCTTGCTTTCCACTATATAACCATCTGTTTAGAGATGGAACAGTGTTCAGCCATCTTTATTTGCAAGAATCATCCTGCTATTATGTTAATGGTAGAAGATACATAATGTCTTAATTTCATGAAAAGTAAATTCCTAATCAGTCTTTTCCATTCATCCTGGCTTTTTTTTTTTTTGCATAGTAAGCAACTGTTGTCTTGGCAGCATTTCTGTGAGTGTATATTTGCACCAACTACAGTTAAGATGAAACTTTCAGTTGGATCAGTTGCTCTTGATGTGCACAGTGATTGCAAATTTGCAATCTCACTAAGAAATAAAATTGGACTGTATGATTTCTTAAGGTTAAATTGCCAGAACCCATACTTATTTGCAGTCTCGAGGCAGGACTTCTAAGTCATCTGGCCTCTTGCAAAATTTGGTCATATTTGACAAGTATGTTTCAGTACTTCATGAGGCATTGACTGTAAAGGAGAGCTTGAGTGCCAGATAGGTTTTAGACTTAGCAGATAGCTGCAGGGCTTTGATACCTACTGAAGATTGCTAGCCCTTGTGCTGTAGTGAATGCAGAGTTTGATAGTTTAGCTCAAATTAGCTTCTGCTAGCATGCTGGACTTTGCATTGGGGCAGCTGAGGTACTCGGGTGTTTTTTATTCTGCTGAGTCAGTTATGAAGGTAGTAACTTTCAGTAGAGGAAAAGAGTAACTGGGAGGAGGAGGGGCTAATGCTGTTGTGTCCCCTGGCATGTCTTCTCTCACGTTCGTATTCTGCAGCCTAACAGCAATACAGCTTATGGGGAGTTTGTTATGTCTGTCTAGTTCTTGACTGAGAATGGAAGGCAGCTTCTAGAACCACTTCATCCTCTTGTGGCTTATGGGGTTGTGTCTCATTTGAAGACGAACTATGTGTAATTTTTGCTGTGTTAGTAGCAAATGAAAATATATCAAAAGAAGAAAAGAAAGAGTTAGAGTGCTTTTCAGAAACCTAATTTGCATTTAATTTGAGGCATTCAGCTCTGTTCATGACAAAGTGACTAACTTTTATTTGAAAAGCAGTAATATCAGTTATTTGGACCACTTGCTGTGTTAGAGTGTAATGTCTCTCCATCTAGAGTTGTCTCATTAAGCCTCACAGTTAGACTGGTTTGCTTGTTGAAAGAAGAATGTGAGCTCAGGCTTACTAGCCTTCATTTTTCAAGCCAGTTTTCTTCATTTAGTACACAAGTTAGCAAATCTTCTCTGCTTTTATCTAATTTTAGCCAGACCTGTTGTTCAATCCCATAGTAGTTTTCTGTGTGAATTCTAATTAGAGGCTATCTTACCAAGTGTACCTTTTCTCATGAGGTACTACACTTTAATACAGAAATTTGATGCTGTTACTGAGTGCACCGTAGCTTCAGAGCAGTTTGAATCTGCATTTTGGCATCGTGGCACATTGTTGACAAGGAATTGTACTGTGAACACAGGGAACTGTTCTTGTTTCTGCTTACTGGAAGAATTGCTGGTGACTGATATTTTTAAAGGTTTCCTTTTCATTGTTGGCTTTCTCAATAAAGAGAGTAAGAATTAGTTAAACAGCTAGAAATGGAAAGAACTCATTGTATCAAGCTGTGTCTTGTCACATTCTGTAATCCAATTATACTGAAAGTCCTCTCAGAATAATGAGGTAGCTCGGTCCAGAGTCCTGGTGGAGCTGTTTGGCATTAGTAAATCATTTATAAAGTTTTAGGTGAAAGAAAACAGTGACTAAATGCCACAGAACTCAATACTTACTGTAAAAAGAACTGCCCATTTTCAAATCTAAGGACAATGAGTTTATCCAGGTAAGGTCAAATTACAGAAACTTAGCATAACTTCTATAGAAAGCTGTGAAAACGAAAAGGGACTAGTTAAAACCTTGTCTTTATAATCGTAATGTTTTTGTGCTTGTTTTTCCTCTGATTACTTTGAATTTGATCTTTAGGCACTGTCTCAGGTTGAAAGGAGGAGTTCCAAACTGTAAATCTTCATTATGGATCGCTGTAGTCCAGGTTTCTAAACATTAAAAGTGGATTTTTGAATTTTTTTCCTCAAACCAAGATTTTCTGCACTCTCTTAATATAGACTAACTTAAAATTGGTCTTGAAAACACTTGAATTTTTTTTTTTCCAAAGGCACTACTATTTAACCATTTTCAAACAAAATACTACTGCAGAGACTGTACTTGTCTTCATTAATTAAATTAATGAAATTTTTCCCTAGCTTCCATAAACACCAGTAGGTAAAAGCTGGGAACACGGAAAGCTAGTATAAATCTCTCAATCGTAGCAGAGCGCTTGAAAATTGTAGGTATGGTGAGACTTGTGTACAGTCTCAGGTGCAATATAACTCCAGTTACAGTTCATTAAATATCTCAAGCCTGAGCAGCGGTGCTCTGCAGTTCCTGGTGCACTTTGAGCCTTGATGACAGGTGGCTGTAGAGAGATCCTGACCTTGCTGAAATTTGGGGGGGGGAGGAAGGGTGTGGGGGGTGTAGCTTTTGTGCAGATGCATTGAAAAATTATTCAACCAGATCACTCTTATTTACAGATGTTGGAATTCTTGCCAGTTAAAGCACAAATGAAACTCTTGATATAACAAAACGCTCTTTCAAGTTAGTCTGAATTCTTGCTTGTACCTAACGTGGTCTAAAAAGTATCCCCCTGCTGATGGGGCTCAATATTAGCTGAGGATACATGAGGCATGCCTCTCTGCCCAGAATCCCCAGCTCCTTGCAAAATTGATGGCCACAGTGACCAGCTAACAGGGAAGTCTCTTCAGCAACTTGTCCAGCACTGGGCACATCTGTGTGCATACCTTGCTCCCTGATAACCCCAGAAGTTCTCACATCTGGACTTGAATTACATGTTCATTAATTAGCTTTTATTACATATTCATTAGCTATACTAACCACTATTGTTGCCTGTTCCCCATTCTTAGGTCTGAGACTTCCATGCATTTATAAAACACCATGTTGATTTGTAAGCAGTTGTCAGCAAATGTCAGGTGTTTTAAAATTGCTCCAGGTTTTAATTATTCTGTCTGTATTTACACTGTCAATTAAAAAAAGTGTAATCAGGTGGACTTCTAGGAGGCTAATTTTTTCTTTTCTTTAACATTACTGTCTCTTTTGCAGTACTTCGACATTTGACACTATCATTGAGGATATTTAACTTCCCTGTGTTCTCTTTGTCAGTCTAATACACAACAGCTGTGGGGTTTTTGTTGCCAGCAAAATCAAAACCCTCTTGCTGGTACTTACTCCTCAAAACAAAACTCGCATGTCTTCCCTGTTAGGGCTATTAATCTCCAGTGGATGAATGTGTAAAAGAGCATTGGACTTGCAATGCTCCCATACTTTCTCTAATTTGATATCTTTATTAAGATCTAGTTCATGAGACCACAAAATGCTTGTTTTAAAATCTCACTTCTCTTAGTGTTGTTGATGCACAATGTGACGTTTTAATCCTTTTCTTAAAAGGCTGCTATGTGAGCTGTTCTTTTGCCTGCAGAATTACTTGAGACCTTGAGAAGAAACTGGTAACATTGACCAGTTTTTTTCCAACATCCATCTGTACTAAATTTGAAAAGTTGTTTCACTGAACCTTTGGGTGCATTCTTTGAAAGGAGGCTGGAAGAATTGACTTCTAAACAAACAGTAGCGTGGTCCTGTGGTTAGAAGAACGTGAATTTGGTTTTTTGTGTGCTTTCTTTGCAGACTCTTGGAAACAGATAGTAAATCCTTGCGATCAGTAAATGGGTCAAGAAGAAATAGTGGGTCTTCTCTTGTATCTAGTTCATCAGCTTCTAGCAATCTCAGCCACCTAGAAGAAGACTCATGGATCCTATGGGGGAGGATTGTGAATGAATGGGAAGATGTACGGAAAAAGAAAGAAAAGCAAGTTAAGGTAGTAGCTGGACACTATTTTTTAGGATGTATTTGTAATGCGGTAGAAGTGATACTGTTTTATTTTCCTGTTGGTCTTATTTTTTTTTTTTAAATAAATATGTAATAGAAGCTTCCAGCTGAATCTATTCTATCCTTAAGGCTTAGTGCTTCCTATGTAACTGTTAACCAAACTTTAACAGTTTCGCCCAGCAAATGTCTCTTACTGAAAACTAGACGCATTTACTGTATTTTGAATGCTAGAGCTTTCAGTCTACTTCTAATGAGAGATTCCCATGAATACAGGGAAAATTTGCTTCATGTTTCCAAAATGGAATTACTGAAAACCCATTTGAGAGTGTCTGATAGCTAGATGCGATCATTATTTTCCCACTGAGCAGCTGCCTTTTTCAAAGCATTCTTATTAGAAGAGTTTATAATTCTACTGTATGAGACTCTGACAAGTTTAGATTTTTGTGCATGCCAAGTGTGTTGACCCCCGGAATGACCTTAAGCAGAAGAACACAGTTCCTAAATTTTGAGTAGATCAGACAAACTTTGACCACTGTCTCTCCAGTCTGGGTTAGTTGTGGACATATACAGAAGTGGAATTCAATTACACTTTAAATTCAAACTAAGAAGCATCTAGGGCATTTGAATATAACCAAGTTTCAGAGGCGGCAAGTACAGCAGCGTGGGATTTTTTTGTTTGTAGGCAAGTCTGTTCTGCTTTGGTTCTTTATTGGCTCTACTCTGTAGTTTTATGTGCAGAATACAAATTTCAAGGTCTTTTGAGCAGTTTGAAATGTGTGTGTATGAATAGGTTGTGGGAAGGCAGAACAATGGGCTAAAGTAAAGTATCTTTTATGTGAAGCAGTTGTGAACAGAGAACATAACTTGAGAAGGGGAAACAAGGGAAGAAAAACTCAAGACTTGCTGCTTGCATAGGGAAAACAGTTTCTGGAAAGCTGTTCCCAAAAGGCCATGAAAAGAAGGCCACATGAACCTGGCAAGAGAAAGGTGAAGTGAGATGGTAATAAGTAGATCTGGTTGCATAGAATTCATTTTAACTGCCTGCATCTGAACATTTTAAAGTGTCAGAAGTATCACTTGTTTTTACAGCTGGCCAAGTATAATTTGGGGAGTATTTGACTAACTTGCAGTAAATACTTAATTATATTGCTAGTGAGTTTTCCTTTGCCAGTTAAATAATTCTCAAATTTTTTTTTTGTTTTTATTTTGTTTGTCGAAAGTCAGCCTAAACTGTGTCATTCTGCATTTATGATGGAATGCCAGAACATCCATACCTATTTCCTGCTTGTGCCAGTAGGTATGACTTTAGCAGCATAGGTATCTTTGTCTTGGCTGTAAAAGCTGGTCTTAAGTTATTAGATATGTGGTAAGTTTGTTTTAAGTTTTAGACATATGTGTATATACCTCCCTGCAGAGGTGATGTGTTCCATCTGTATGTCCTTGATCCACTTCAGAACTCGCTTCTTGTTTATGGAGGAATTCTGAAGGATGACTTAAGTCCTGCTTTTCAGTGTGCATAGTACTGTGTAGAATAGCATCATCTTAGTGCTGCTTAGTAGGTGCGTTTTCCTGCTGTTCCTTTAGCAATATTGGAGGTATTAACCCTGTTACTCTGTCAAGCAGGTGCATGGTAACTTAAGGCGAGAAACCACTTGCTAATGCTTTGTTATTAGTAGCCCTTGAGGCTTTAGATGACTGATCTACAATCTGATGGTGCACTGTTGACAAATGATAGCTAGAGACAGATGTGGAAAGCTGATGTGTTAGGCTGTCATCTTGGAGTTGGAAATCTTTTAGGAAATAACACAGGGTGTCGTGTTGTAGATGGGACAAATAGTTGGAATAGCGTTAATAGGTTTGTTCTGAAGAGGCTGGAGGTCTTAAGGTTATTAGAAAATTGAGGTCAGTGATGCAAAACTCCTGTGGTAGAGGTCAAGCTTAACAAACCCAAAACTTTCAAGCAAGAGTCTCTTTAAAAGTTATCACTGTTGCATTAATTAATCTTAGTATTTGGAGGGGTAGGAGAAATACTTGGACCAAACAGGAAAAAGAGGAAGCTTTGTGGAGTAGGCGATTACTCTGGCTTCAGAATAAATAACTAGTGAAAGAAACTATCCTTTAGGAGACAGAGTACTTGATAACAGTTCTTAAGGTACAAAAAAATTATTAAAGGAACTCTCTTGTCTTGAAGAGACAATCTTCTAGGTCAGACTGATCCTAGTCGTAGAAAGTACTGCTAAGACAGTCTGTAAACTTCCTGAAACGTACTTTTTTTTCCTTGGTTTTCAGATCAAGCAACAAGACTACTTTTTGCTTGTGCTTTCTGAAGAGACAAGTATCAGGTTCTTAGATCTATTGATTTGGGAAGGTTTGAATTGTATAATACCTAGCTGATTTTTTTTTTTAGGGAAGATAAAGTAAATCTAGTTAATGCAGAAGATGTAAACTTAACGTTGTCTTGGTCCAGTGTCTGAAACTACATTTAAGTACTTTCTTAAAAGAGTATTTTGGCACACCAGAGAAATTAGACACAACTTGTCAAGTTTGTCAAATTACTTTTGACAGTAGTACTGTGCAATTTTTTTTTTTTTGTTGCAGTTGGCAGTGCTACAGCTAGTTCCACTTTTTATCACCTACCTGTCTTGGAAATAATTTTTAATTGGTGATTTCTTCTATCTTAATTACTACAAATATAACTAAGGGTGTTATCTTCAGTCACCTTTTGTGAAATGTAAAAATAACTGTATTTGGCTAATGAGAGTTCTCATTTAAAATCAACTGAATATTCAGTTTTCAAGTAGCTTACTATGAATAGGGGACAAAATTAGCCACTAAAAACGAATCAGTCACCTTACTTTTGTTAGCTAACAATCCTTCACACTAAAATTGAGGCTTACACATTATAAACTGTATGAATGGTTTGTGATGAAATGTAAACATTTTCTGAAGTTGTGAGGAACTTAATTTGTTGAAGTGTTTTGTTCTTTAGGATTATGTTTATATTTTCAGGAAATAGAAATTAATTTGTGTCTCTTTTTGTGCTCTAGGAGCTTGTTCGAAAAGGGATACCTCATCATTTCAGAGCAATTGTTTGGCAGCTTTTGTGCAGTGCTCAAAGCATGCCAATTAAGGACCAGTATTCAGAGCTTCTGAAAATGACATCTCCTTGTGAGAAATTAATAAGAAGGGACATTGCTAGAACATACCCTGAACATGATTTTTTTAAAGAAAAAGACAGCCTTGGACAGGAGGTCTTGTTTAATGTAATGAAGGTAAGTCAGTAATTTAGCCCTTGAAAATACATTAGCAAGAAAGTGCACAAAAGCTTGGAAAATAATTTCCCTTGTATATAGCGAACTTGCATCAGTTTCATGTGTTGAAGTTTTTTTAAACTTACTCTCCTTGACACTGGAACAGTTTAACATTACATTCCAGTTTCAAAGATAGCTTTCCAATACGGTATTCCTATAGTTCATGGTTTTACTTTAGAAGAGATTTTTAAAAACTTACTCAGTTTGCCTTAAAACACATGCTAACCGCTGACAGCGTAATGGAATAAAGTGTGCCGTGAAGTAAACAGTGTTGACCAAGACAAGAACACTGTCAGCCAGAACTACCATTTGGTTTTCCAGCATTTCTGAACCGGCAAGTGGTAGCAGCAAATGGCAGGTACAAGCTAATGTGCAGTCGTTACAGTGCCCAAGCACAAAATAAGGATGCCACCATAAAATTCAGTTGCATTATTTTGTCTTCATTTTACTGGAGCTTAAATTTTGAAAGGCAGACTTTTCCATGCAACTTGGTTTCAACAGCAAAGTTGACAGGTTTCCAAATCATAGTAACTTCCATGATCTGAAATGAAGATGCAACATGCATGGAGAGCGCCGTGTTTCCTCTACCTGTAAATAAAACGGCAGCACAATTTTTCTGAAAAGAACTGCTGTTTGTCAGGTTTGTCTCCTATAAAAGTAGTAGCCTTATGCAGTTTGTATGCCAGCTGTCTCCATTACCTTTTGGCACATTCCCGTGGTTGAAAACTGCATGTATTTTTTGTTTTAGGTATGACTTAGTTTTAGCTTTGTAGGCTCTCAGAGAGCTGAGTTCATACCCTTTGTAGCAGCAGGAGGCAACTAGAATATCTGACTAAAACTTCTGAATAGAATGTCTGTCCTTACTGGATTTGGGAGAAGAAGAGTAAATTAGTAGCAAAATAACAGCATGAACTATGATTACTTTTTATTAATAATGAGGTTTTAATTGTTGAGAGTATTAAAACTTTATTTTCTAGGCTTATTCTTTGGTGGATCGTGAGGTTGGATACTGTCAAGGAAGTGCTTTTATAGTTGGATTACTGCTTATGCAGGTAAACATAATATTAAAAATATGTGAACCTCTAGAATCCCTGCTAGAATGCATAATATCTTGTGGTGGTTTATGGGGAATTTTTACAGTAGTCTTCCTTAGTCATTTTGTGCAAATCAAATGAGATTCATTTTCTATGGTTCTGTTTGCCAAGAAGATACATCTTTGAGCATGAGAATACATTTATTTCTCTGAGCTAAGGTAGGACTGCAGACTTGCAAGCTATTTTGGTGAATGCTGTTTCAGCTATTAATGAGCTTATGTCCATTCTATTATACTGAATCTTCTCAGAGTTCAAACACAGGTTCACAGTTACTTTGATAATCTTAACGCTCCCTTTGTATTACTGCCTTTTGTTTTATAGCGAAGTAGGGTATATTATAAGAAATTTGCAGATCTCCATTCCAGCTTATAAATCACTTGACAGAATTCAATATATACAAAAGTTCATTACAGTAACTGGTTACAAATCCCTTAAAACAACAAACAACCCAAACCCAGAAAAGACCCACCGCACACACACAAAAAACCCCAACCCTAAACCCTTCCAGGCACTTAGTCCAAGTATATCCTTATATTTGTCCGGAGTTTTTACTATGCTTCTTTATTTTTAATTATAGATGCCAGAAGAAGAGGCATTTTGTGTGTTTGTTAAACTAATGCAAGATTACAGACTACGAGAACTCTTTAAACCAAGCATGGCTGAACTGGGCCTTTGTATGTACCAGTTTGAATGCATGATACAGGTACATACAAAATCTATCAAACCTTCTCTTCAGTAGCTATCAGTAAGGAACTTGGGAATTGCAGGTCAAGAACAGGCATGTCTGTCACTAATAAGCTGTTCTCCTGGCAGTAGCTAGCTTCAGAACTTGAAGTAAATGCATGCGGCTCTGTGGTCTACTTTTTAACCTTTGGCAAACACCTTTAAACAACTGAAGCATGAGGATTTGTATTACCACAGTTTGAGCATATGAATGTCTAATTCTGTTTGGATTGAAGATTTTGAAAGTCAATGTCTTCATAGTCAATTTATAGCTATTTTTAAAAAAATGGAAACTGGGAAGTACTCTCATATGTAGGGTTAAAATTTTGTTCAGATTCAGCCTGTCCAGGAAGAAAAAGTTTTCTGTGTCCTGATAGAGGCAAATAGGTTTGTCTTTTGTGATCCAGTTCCAAACGTGTTGATGGGGGTGAGATGTTAAGTAGCAACTAAGCCATAGGTCTCTGGCCACACCCTAGATATTTTCAGCTCTTTTTTTTTTTTTTGTAGCTTACTCTAGATGCATCTTAGGGATTTACAAGCTTGTCACTCCCTGTGTGGAATTAGGATGTATTTTTGTAGTCTGTGCTTTGGAGGGTGGATGTGTTGTTGGGCTTTCTGTACTGGGACTTTTGTTGCATGGCTCTTGATAATGATGTAGTATTTTTTTCTACTCCTGCATTATGAAGCTTCTGTCTGTAATAAATATCAACTATTTTCTTCTTTTATTCAAAATATGTCAAAAACATGAACATACTAAAACCACCAGCAGAAGCTTAATGTATGGGTTTTTTCTTCCTCTTTTCCAGGAACATCTTCCAGAGCTTTATGTGCACTTTCAGTCTCAGAGTTTTCACACTTCTATGTATGCGTCGTCATGGTTTTTAACTATATTCCTTACAACTTTTCCACTACCAATTGCAACAAGAATATTTGATATCTTTATGTCTGAGGTAACTACTCAATACTCATGTTCCATTTCAAGAGTAGCTGTTAAAAGCAGTTACTTAGGTAGTGGTATAAATCCCATTGTGATGGGCAAATCTCAGATACTCTTCAGTCCTTATGCTTATCAGATTATTTTGTAGGGGAAGATGTCTCTGTGTGTACTTTGTCAAGGAAGAGCAGCTTTGTACCCTAAGCCTGTGGAAGAGTGAGCAAATGTGTCGGTTCTGGATGCAATACAATGGCATTGCAACAAGAGGGACATGAGTTTCTCAGTAGTGTAGCAAGTTTGGGTTGGAAATTAATGCTGCTTTCAGGCTGAAGTTAAAGCTCTCTGGGGACATGCAGGCCAAGAAGAGGGAGTGTTGGCATCTTACATTGTCCAGATGATGAACAGTAGCCAGAGAAACTTACGGAATTATTCAGTGTCACTATCATGAAGATATCTAAGTCATGTTTAGGATTAGAGCTTTGCGTGGCTGTAACTGGTAACAAACCAAAGCTTATGGTCCATTTTCACTCTTTCTCTGCAACCATCTTTTAGAAAATAGTAAGTGAAAGGTGGATCCTTTCAGCTTACACTCAAGAATGTCCAAGATAGTATGTATGAGTGAGACATTCCCTTGTATCTGTTTAAATAGTTTAATTGCATTGTACCATGTCTGAAATTAAAATGGCTTTTTTGAGAAGTACGTGGGGAGGAGTTGTACTGTGTATAATTAAAACTTTTGATAAAGCTGACACAGAGAACACCAGTCACTCAACAGTTTTTACCTCAGCACGAGCCTCTCTGAGTAGGGGGTGGGTCAGTGGCATCAGGAAAAATAGCTGGGCTACTTGTCCTTGGGACAAAATAAGGAACCCAGAACCAATTTGTTGAGAGGTTTTTTTTCAGTAGCCCTTTTGCTCGCTTGAGAAACTAGGTGAGATTTCCAACATTAGCAAATACTAGAATTGTTCTGTACTGTTGACAATGCTATGAGTAATTGTTGGATATTTCTTAACTTCTGTTTTCAGGGTTTAGAGATAGTATTTCGAGTAGGTTTAGCAGTACTTCAGATGAACCAAGCAGAATTACTGCAACTTGACATGGAAGGAATGTTACAGGTAAATTAAGGTTATAACAACTGTAAGAGGTGTCTGAAACATGTAATGTGTGTCTGTATTTCCTTGCAGCTATTAATTATATGTAATCTTGTGCTCTGATTGCTTTTAGCACTTTCAAAAGGTCATTCCACATCAGTTTGACAGTGGTCCAGACAAATTAATCCAAGCATCTTACCAAGTCAAATACAATGCAAAAAAGATGAAAAAGTAGGTATAACATTTTGAGAAAATAGATTGTACTGTTGCTAAGAGCTACTGTTTGATTATCTTTAAAACTAGTTATCCAGTATTTCATTTTGAATTTTCCATCTTTAAATTTTTTGGTGGCTTATACTATAAGCAGTTAAAACTTAAGTTCTATCTGCAAGAAAATTCTTCTAAAGCAGTATTTGCTATTTTTCTTACATAAAATAGAGCTATATCTCACTTATAAAAATAACCTAAAAAGCTTTTGAAGAAAGCTGCAAGTTATGGGGAATTACAGCACTTCTGTAAACAGCATCTGAATAGCAAAAGCAGGGGGTAGGGGGTTGTTTTTGGGGGGAGAGGGATATTGTTTGGGTTTTTTTG